AGTTCAACTTATCAGATTATTTGCTCAGCATACAGTTTCAATAAGTACGGTGGAAGAACACAACCCTGACATACACCCTTCCTGATTTTAAATCAGGCAGTATCCCCTTGTTCTGTTTGAATGACAATCTCTTGGTCTATGTGCATGTTCCTCATGAGCACAATTAAGTCTTCTGGAATTCCTATTCTTTGCAATGTTATCCATAATTTGTTATGATCCACACAGTCAAATGTCTTTGCATAGTCAATGAAACACAGGTATCATCTTTCCGGTATTCTTTGCTTTCAGCCATTATCCATCATCTGACATCAGTGATAATATCCCTAGTTCCAAGTCCTCTTTGAAATACGGCTTGTATTTCTCAAAGTCCCCTGTCAATATACTGCTGCAACCATTTTTGAATTATCTTCAACAAGGTTTTACTTATGTGTGATATTGTTCTATGCTTTCTACATTCCGTTGGATCACCTTTCTTTGACATGGGCACAAATATCAATCTCTTCCAGTCAGTTGGCCAAATCGCAGTCTTCCAAAGTTCTTGACTTAAATGAATAAGTGCCTCCAGCAGATGTTATTGAAACATCTCAGTGGGTATTACATCAGTTTCTGGAGCCTTGTTTTTCACCAATTCCTTCAGTGCAGCTATGATTTGTTCCTTTGATACCATTGGTTCTTGATTGAAGGCTACTTCATAAATACATGGATATCAACCAATTGATACAGTGACTCTTTATTCCTTCCATCTTCTTTTGATGATTCCTGCATCATTCAATATTTTGCCCATAGAATCAATATTGCAACTCGAACTTTGAATTTTTTCTTCAGTTCTTTCAGCTTGAGAAATGCCAAGCCTATTCTTCCCTTTTGGTTTTTTAATTCTAGGTCTTTGCACATTTCATTATAATACTTTACTTTGTCTTCTCAAGCTGTCCTTTGAAATCATTTGTTCATTTTTTTATTTTGTCATTTCTTCCATCACTTTATTCTATGTTCAAGAGCAAGTTTTAGAGTGTCTTCTGACGTCCTCTTTGGTCTTCTCTTCCTTTTCTGTCTTTTTACTGATGATTTACCTTCTTCATGTATGATATTCTTGATGTCATCCACAGCTCAGTAACTTCAGTCATTGTTATTCAATGCATCAATTCTATTCTTCAGATTGCCTCTAATTTCAGGTGGGATATAATCAAGGTCAATTTTTGGCTCTTGTGGACTTATTTTAATTTTCTTTAGCTTCAACTTGGATTTGCACATGAACGATTGAAGATCTGTTCCACAGTCAGCTGCTGGCCTTGTTTTGACTGAAAACTTTGAACTCCTCCATTGCCTTTTCCCAGAGATATAGTATATCTGATTTACGTGTATTTCATCTATGAGGTGCATATATATAGCTACCATTTATGTTGTTGAAAAAAGATATTTGCAATGAATAGGTCGTTGGTGTTGCAAAATTCTATCATGCGATCTCCAGGATCATTTCTATCACGTGATGATAGAGCACCAGCGGGTCCCATAGTGCACAGGTTTCAGTGGAGCTGCCAGACGAAGACCACTGTTGCTTCTTCTTTGTTTCTAACTTTTGCATTTCAGTCACCAACAATAATCAATACATCTTGATTGCCTATTTGATCAAATTCAGACTCCAAAATTAGTAAAAAATTTCAAATCCTTTATCTTTGTCTTTAGTAGTTGGTCTATACCTTTGAATAATAGTAGTATTAAGTGCTCTTCTTTCTAGGTGTATTGTCCTATTACTGGCAGCAATGTACTTCAAGATAGATCTTGAGATGTTCTTTTTGAAGATAAATTCAACACTATTCCTCTTCAATGTTTCAATCCCAGTAGAATAGATTACATCATTGTCTGATTCAAAATGGCCAATACCAGACCATTTCAGCTTACTAATGCCTAGGATATAGACCTTTAACTGTTCCATTTCATTTTTGACAACTTCATATTTTCCTAGATGCATACTTTGTACATTCCATATTATGATTTTTAATGAATGTTTGCCACTATTTCTTCCGATTTTGAGTCATGTTGCATCAGCAAATGAAGGTCCCCAAAACTTTACTTTATCCATGTCATTAAAGTCAACTCTCCTTTGGGGTGGCAGCTCTTCCCTAGTCATATTTTTGGTACCTTCTGACAGGATCATCCTCCAACACTATGTCAGAGAGTGTTTCAGGCCTATTCATAATGTTTTCCAGTGATTGTCAGACAGCGTATCACTTCTAGTCATAATGTTTTCAGTGGCCAGTTTTTCCAGAAGTGAATGGCCCCCTCCTTGTTCCTAACCTGTCTTCATCTGGAAGCTCCGCTGAAACCTGTCCACTATGGGACCCTGCTGGTATTTGAAATACTAGTGGTATAGACTCCAGCCTCACAGCCACACGCAAGCCACCACAGGATGACAAACTGACAGATGATTAGTGGGTGTCCAACAAAAATGGCCTTAGTAAGGCATCTTCAATTATAATTCTCATGAATAGGTAGTATGATGTTGATATCACTAAACTTTCTCATGGGTCTTCAGATATCTACTGCCCTTGTAGGAGTCTTTATACTTGCCTTATCTGCCCCTTTCTTCAGAAATGTCTGTGCCCAGAGCTGTTTCTCCATATACTTCTATGTCTCCATACATTTTTGCTTATTCTCAAATGCCATTGACCCTCAGAAGCCTCTACTAGCCCCTTAGACATATTAGTCACTCTATTTCTGTGCTCTTATTTCAATTATATTTACCATTTTTATAGCACTTAACCAAATATTATGACATTTTGATTTGCATGTCTTTCTGTCAGAGAGACCATGAGTTATTTACAGTTTTATGAATATTTGTGGTCATAATTTACATTATGGGTCCTTTGCTTGTTTGAATTAATTAGCTATTAGCAAATTTTGAAGATTTTAAGTTGGTTTTGCAGTAGGGATAACAGATTTCACCAGTTAAATCATACCCTAATAAATAGCAGCTTCCTTTTTTACAAGTGGTTGGTCAGGACCAAGTTGTAATATAAAGTTAACTCCTGCTTTGGAGGACTGAACTGAACTGTAACAATAGTTAACAGTTCCTTGTGCCTGGTCATTTTAATATATTATCTCATTTAAACTTCAAGACAGCTTTGTTATACCCTTTTTTTTGCGTATGGGAAAAACTGAGTCTCAGAGCAATCCATTCAACTCATTATTTGACAGTTTAATGTATTTCAGGACAAAAATTTATTCTTAAGAAAATATAAATGTTACTGAAATGATTTTTTTCCTTCTGGGTTCTTTTCCTAATCTTCTACTATCTGAGTATTTTTTCATACCTTAGATTCACTTATCAGAGCTTTCTAATCTTATGATGTTCTGGAAATTTAAATTGCCTTTAATCTAGGTGGTAAAGAACCTGCTCCTTACCCTATCGACACCTTACTCCCTTTGACATCTGGCTGGTGTCCATTAATACTTCTATACTGAAAAAATATTTAAGCAGCTGACAATAGCAAGACTTCTACTAAAATATCTTTCGGGTTCCTTGTCATTGTAGAGAGGGGAAAAAAAGGTTTTGAAAAAAGATTTTTGTCAAATGAGATATAGCATTATACATTTTCAGAGCTTCCCCAAACCAAAAATTTCATTATAAAATCATAACCTTGCCTTGTCATTTCTTATGTTTTCAGCTTGTTTTTATCTCATTTTACTTCCTTTTGTATTTAAACAATGGTTTTGCTAAGAATTTCCAACATTTATGACTAAAATATAGATGCATAATGATAAAGACTGTTATTCTGTATCTTTGGAATTCCTTAATAAAGATTTTGATGAGTTTTAGGTCAATTTGAAAAAGAAAAAAAGAAAAGTACTTTAAGAGAACAATGCATGTGGCTTTTGTTGTGAGCCATTGAGTTAACTCCAAATAAGGAAAACCCTGAATGGTAGCACAGAAAAGCCCCATAGAGTTTTCATGGCTATAATCTTCCCGTGGAATCACCTAGTGAGTTCCAACAGATGACCTTTAGGCTAGCAGCCCAATGCTTAGCAATTGCTCCTTCACTTCTGCATTTGTGCCAAACTTCAAACTATCAAAATGGTCATCAGTAGTTGAACAGATAACTTAATGTGGTTTATTCACAAAATGGAATGTTATGCTGCGTGACATTGAAAATAAACCACAAACACATGAAACATGAGAGGTGACTCTCACACACATAGTGCTGAGTAAAAGAAGTCAGAACCAAAAGAGAACATGTTACATGATTCCATTATAAAGTACAGAAACATTTATAAAAAACGGCAAAACTAATAATCTATGATAATAGAAGCCAAGTGAGTGGTTACCTCTGGCAAATTGAAGAGCCAGAAATGTTTTACGAAGAGCTGTGGGTATTACTGGTAATGTTCTGTTTATTGATTTGGGTGCTGTTAGCAAAAGGATGTTCAGTTTGTGAAAATTAATTGAACTTCATTTTTCAGTATATTTTATGAACAGGTTGAAGCATGTGGAAAATAAATAAATGGGAAGTCATTATGTCAATTTAACAAATAGTACCTCTCTATGCTTGCTTTGTATGTCTCTTCTAAAATTGGCATTTAATATTTTTTGGAAGTTGAATGCTTTATTACTAAGCATGGTTTTTCCATTGTTTGAGAGAACGGGAGAATGAAATGGAAGAAGCATGTAAAATATTCATTAGAAAGCTGCATTTCTGACATAAACAAAGGATATTTATTTTGCTTAAAATTTTCAGAAAACTCAAGTGAGTCCTTTTCACAGTGATTTTTAAATTTTATTTCTAAGCATTTTATGACATGACTAATGAGATCTCCCATAAGGAAACCAAAGGAAACAAACTAAAGAAGAATAATATATTATGCATTTCTAACATTTTATAGAAGTGCATTTTATTGTAAGAAAAAGGGGTCAATTGTTAGGCAATTGGCTTTAGTTAGTTTCATAACCCTACGTACACTACTGATATACCTAATAACTTGAATTGTTCTACCTTTGTTAATAGGTGTGCAGTTTACCTTCCACACTTTTCATTTGGAAGATCATCATGACTACTTACTGATCACGGAGAACGGCAGTTTTACTCAACCACTGGCACGACTTACTGGTTCAGACCTTCCTTCAACAATCAATGCTGGTCTTTATGGAAATTTCAGAGCTCAATTGCGATTCATTTCAGATTTTTCAATATCATATGAAGGATTCAACATTACATTTTCTGGTGAGAAAAACAACATATAAACAAAATTATCTCCTTTAACAAGTTAGAAAAATCTTTTTCTTTTTTTTTTTTTTTTTTTAATAGTACTTGTACAACATGTGATAAAGCAGAGGGGGAAATAGAAGAGAAGAAAAGTGAAAAAGAATGCAAACAAATATCTGTCAATTAGTTTTAAGGAAAATTTGAAGTATCTTGAGGATTGTTTATAGTAATAACTTACAGAGAACTAAACAAAGGCAAAAAAATAATTAACTAAAATTTTACTTGAAGTACATTAATTACATTTCAACACACACTCCTATAGAAAGGACAAAAGGCAAAGCTAGCTAAAATGCCTAGTGAAGTTGAAACAAAAAACAAAATATATTTTTTAATGGCTCAGTTAAACTCCAAACAGTAAATGTGAATTTAACCAGTGATATTCTAGTTTTACGTCTCTTGGAAATGGCATGGTAAACAGCCAAGATTGTGGTAAACTTATTATTTTGGAACCGGATTATCTAGAAACAAATTAATGTGGTTACTCCTTTCTTCTAGAATAACTTTATCCATAGAAAGTTGTATAAATTAAATTCTAGAACAGAAGCCCTAGTGGCACAGTGGTTAAGCACTCAGCTGCTAACCGAAAGGTTTGCAGTTCAAACCCACCAGCCACTCTGTGGGAGAAAGATGTAGCATTATGCAATTATAAAGATTTCAATCTTGGAAACCCCATGGGGCAGTTCTATTCTGTCCTGTAGGATTGCTCTGAGTTGGAATCTGCTTGACAGCACACAGTAACAAAAGATTCTCAGAAAAAAAAAAAAAAAAAAGATTTCTATGAAACCAAAGATAATACAAAGCGTTTTTGCTGTTTAGAGTTCTAATTTCCAGTTGAATAGTGAGATGAATAGTTATTTCTTAATATGGATACACATTGTTAAGTAAATCTTAAACCAACTTACTAATATTAAAATTCTGGTTTTATAATTTTTTATCTATAATGGGAACTCTGGTAGCATAGTGGCTAAGGCACTTGACTGCTAACCAGAAGGCTGGCGGTTCAAA